CTTCGAGCACCAAGCACTGGCACTCACCAAGGAACAAAACGGAAGCCGCTGGTTCGGACTTTGGCCAGGCACCACCGAGCAACGCACGGCAAATCGAACAAACGATCAAAACTACGAACATGGTTACACACCAGGCGCATCTGCTGGCGATTTCACACAGAGCTGTGCGTCTGGTCCACGATCGCGTTCGCGAGAGCGCAAGCCCGTCGCTGCTCCCCACCTCAGAGACCGAGCAAGGCTGCGCCTGGGTGTGCCTCTCGTTGAAACGGGGGTCAACAAAACTACACGGGCGAACCGCGTGCGGGCTGCCACGCGTCGATGACATCATCGTCCAGATCAGCTTGAGCCCCACAAGGCTCCGGATCAGACACAAGGATGAATTGAATGAGTGGACAAGGGGGGCCAAAGAGGAGTAAAAAGCACGGAACGAATCACACGCAACAACACACGCCGCAATCTGCACACCCCGTTCCACGTGGCACGGAACGATCTGAGCCGAACACCTCTCCGAACCTGCGCCGCACACCGTACACCACGTGCCGCAAGAACGCTTCGGGCAGAAGCGCCGACAACTTCGTTCATCACGGAGACGTGGGCGGCTGGGCGCCTCTAGTGCTGCGGGGTGCTCCACGGCCTCTGGCGGCACTTGTAGATTAAACACCAGCGCGTGCAGAGCTCGCCGCTCCCCCTGATGCCTCCTGTGACCGAAGCTCCGGCGTGTGGCTTCACGCTTCACGCTACGCCCCCAGGAGAAGGACAACTTTCCAATCCAGACGGCTGTCTTCGCGCTCGCGCGGGAGCCACCACCCGGCGGGCGGAGAAAAACAGCATGCTGGGAATCTGCCCTGCGGCAGGGGTCTATCTCGCCCTGCAACAACTTCGCCTCGCCCGCACGCACGCACACACACGACACGAACCGAAACTGGAAACGAATTGTCGATTGGGGGACTCCCTGTCACTTCGCTCTCACGCCCCAGCATCCAACAGTCTGCTGCGTACATCGGCTGGTCGCGTTGCGCCGACCCGGCTCTGCCACAACAGAAACCAAGAATCGGCGTTGGTGTCCACCGCTGTCGTCGCGATGACGTGGGCAACGGTTTCTGACACCACGTGGATCGCTCTCTCTTGATTGATTGCGGCTTCCCGGGACTACAAATCGTTCGAGGTCGGCCGACTCTGGGCGGCTGAGGCGTTCAACCTTGAACACCCGCGCTGGGGTCGCCGCTGCATCAATGCGGGGCGACTCTACCGTACTCGAATATGACGCGCCGCGCGGCAATCCTCCTAGTAGGCCTCCCTACACGCCGCCTGTGGAACCCCGAGAGCATGAAGAGACAATACCGGCGAGTGCATTTGCGAGCTCTCTGCGGGGCCTCTCGAGGCAACTCGCCTGTGGAGAGTCGTGACACTCGTGAGCACGTAAGAAGCAGATTCCGAAGATCGCGAAGCCCAAAGTGCGCATGGTCTTGACCGCAGAGGCAACGAATTAAATGCACATGTTACTGGCTGCGAGTGCCGCAAACCCTCATCATGACTTTTGGCGCCCTAACTCCGAATGGTACGAACACTGCCTGAGTGCGTGAGATGACGCAGGGCGATGTCCCCATGGCAACGATCTGTGAACCGCTGCGACAATGGACACCATGTAGCTGCCAAGGTTAACAGACATGCACCAGACATCGCCGCCACGAATGTGTTCACCAATTTCGCGGCTATACCAATAAAACGCCGAACGAAGTCTCCACTGGTGGGCAGGGACCATGCGCCATTGAGCACCTGAGCCTGCGAGCAGCAAGATGCCCTACTAATCTGAAAAGGTTCAATTGAGATGGGAAGTTATGAACGGAATCGCCTTTTTCGACCTTGAACCGAGCGGGTTCTGACTTCTGTTTTGGAGGGTGTTTTGGACTGAAGCGCGATGTCGACTTCGAACCCAGAAAGTTAGACTTCGGTCGAAATGTTTCGAAGATGTCTCAAGCGGATCGTCGTTTCGACTCAGGCAACCCGTCTGGCACTGAACATTTAAATTCGGTAGCCCGAAACGCCGAAATCTGCCGATCCGGCGTGTGAGTTTCTGAGAGCGTGGACTTCAGCTCGCTCAAGCTTCGCTCTGCAGGGGGGGTGGGGGGGCCTTCGTTATTTCCGACGTCTCGCTCTCACCCCCCCCGGATCGGCGGCACTGGCTGGAGGCCAGCCCAATAATGGATTTCGCTTGGGACTTCCTCGAGAAACGGATTTCGACTTGATGTCGAAACCCGCTGGCCCGAAGTCGAAATGATGATTCCGCACCATACTTCTTCGAACAAATGTGTTCGGCCGACGTCGAAACTCCCTGGTCCGAAATCCAAGCTGCGTGGAAATGCCTGCGCTACACGAAACCACGAGACGCACCCTGGCAACATTGTACTGGGGCCTCGTCGCCAAACGGGTCCCTGTCAAAATGTCCCCAGTGGACAACATTGTTCTTGGGCCCCGCAGCCGATCGGTAAGACATCAATGTCGGAAGATTTCTCGCATCGACGAAGCACACTGCGATGCGCTGCGAGCGCACGAACCGCACGGCGAATTTTTTGGAAGCAGCAGAGGCACATGGAAGTGTGCTCCCTGCTCTGACTTCCAAGCACCCTGCTGCTAACAGTGCCGCCTTCTCCCGAAACAAGCACATCGTGCCGCGCTGACTCCTGATTGCCCTTCGCGACCTGCAGTAGCTCTTGCGCATCCGAACTGGGCGTGGCCCTGGTCAAGCCGCGGGCTGGCAACCGAACTTGACCCACAAGAGACGCATGCTGGGAACCACCGGAGGCAAAAATTATGATGAGGGCAATGGCTAAAGAAACATTGGATCATAAATCCAGGATCTGGAAGCCGGTGGAGCCCTAATCGTGGAATGGCCATGGATATCGCCGCCGCCCTCATTAGATAAGGAACCCTTCAAGGTCTGAAGCCTGCTGGGCACATTCCTCAACCGTACTGACCAACCGAGCACGAACGAATCCGACAAGCGGCCTTACCACATTCCAAGACGATCGATTCGACTAACATCCAGAAACAGTCGGACGAACAACCATATACTAAGTACGTACCCAAGTGAGATGCGTTCGTCGAGTCTCCCCCACCATGACCTACTGTCTGCTCCACGGCTCCTCGCGAGGGTTGTTCTCCGATGGGTGAGGTCCTGCTGAGTCTGAGTCGTCAAACCACACGCGGTGCACATGAGAACCCGCGCCAAACGCGAAAGGACCCAACGCTCGCCATCTCTAGCAGCTCTCTGTACAAAAGACGCGTGCTTGCAAAACAATGCCAATGGCTCCTCCGATCTCCATCTCAACTCCCGTAAGAGAGCGGATAACCCGAAAAGCTCGACAACCCTCGAACTCCCTCACTCGGGTTCTCCCCGCTACGTGCGTACTCTATCGGACACGTGAAATTACTCATGCTCGCGCTTCTGAACGCCAACTAGTCCTCGCCCGAAGCCAAGCACGAGAAAACGTGGACCCTCGCATGCATGCGTACGCCAGCACGATCCGCTATTTTGCCCGGTCTTCTCGTCTCGAGCCTTGCCCTGGACGGGCATAAACGGAGCTGTCAACATTTAAACATTTAAAAAAAAGAAGAAAAAAAAAAAACGAAAAATAAGACTATAACCAAATAAAGAAAATAAACAAAAGAAATAAAGAAACATAAAAAAAAAGAAAACAAAAAACACGAAATAAAAGAAAAAATGAATGTAAAAAAAAATTAACAAACACAAGAACTGACAAAAACAAAAACAACCGAAAGAAACCCAAGAACAAAAACACCAATAACCCAGAAAAAAAAAAACACCATACAAAAACCAACAAAGCAAAAAAAAAACCCAAAAGCAAAGAAAGAGAAGAACCAAAAATAAAAACCAGAACAAGGACCACAAGAGCACCACCAAAACAGCACAGCACAAAGACCAACATAAAAACTCGACAGAAAAACAACAGCTGTCAACATTTAAACATTTAAAAACAAATCAACAAACGTCAAGGCAAGCTTCCGTCAATTCCGCTGACAGAGCAACGCGAAAATTACCACGATCACGTGATCCCGACATCCATGGTTGCGAAGCATCCGCGCCGTGTACAACACTCACGATCGGATATGTTGGTTCCAATATAAGACGCGCTTTCCCGAGCATGGTCGATCCGTCCTGGTGCTGGGGCACGCGACGAGGCAGCGACAAACATAGATCAGCTCGATAACTCCCAGTCCTTCGTTGCGCCGCGTCGAAGAGGGGCATGGTCAGGGGGACGCACACGTTATCAGAAGGCACACGTTCTCTTAGATAGAAGACGGGCCGTGTTCTGGTTCGAAGAGGCCGGTGCTTCTTCCCGCTGCCGTATCTTTTGTCCACGTGGACCCTCAGAGATCTCCAGGGGCCGTCTTTTCATCCAGAATCGTTTGTTGATGGTCCCAGGCCCCGCCCTCGAGGCCGAAACTGCCAAAACCTCCCACCGCGACTTGTTCACGACAAGAAGGGGGGTGTTCGGAACCCCACCCCGGCCTCCTGCCCCAGATGCGGGCAAGATCTGTATCCATATCCCCTACATCTTTGAAATTCGGGCACCCCTCACCAGAAGCCCAAGGCGCAATGGATCTGGGTACACATCTGACCTCCAAGAGGCTGGATTCTTGTCCATATCCACTGCGCCTCGGCCTTTTGGCGCCCCTTCCCAGGAAACCCAAGACGCAATGGATATTGATATACATCATGCCTGCAGAGAGAGAGAGAGAGAGAGATGCCACCAGCACCAGGGTCACGGGGCAACAAGGGAGGGCCTTCCTCAATTTTGGATGCCCGAGATGGGTGCGGAAAAAATGGGTACAATGCCCAACAACAAATGTTTTGCAAAACCAACAGCGGCCGCTGTTGGACAGGCGACCTTCTGTCTTCAATGAACAAAGTCCGCGGCGGCGCGGACAGCGAGCACTGCCAAGAATGAACAACAACCGTTGTTGGGCATTGTGCCAATCGCCACTCAGTGGTACAGTGTCGCTGCTTCCCGGCTTCCCGTTCGAGACTACTCCAAAACCAAACTCGGGGAGGGAAGCATCGCGGACCTCCGACGTCGCGACCTGCCAAAGTCGGCGCCCGCAGCCCTCGACCCCAATCATCCGCAGGACCAGCCCTGCGCCGCGAGCCGCGTCTTGACGGCCGCGGGGGCAGAGACAACGCCGGAAAGCCTGCTCTGAGCATTTTCTTAGGGTGGAGGGCTCAGGGCGAAATCCATATGGGCTTTTGCACCTCGAAAATCAATCCGTCTTGTGATTCGCCTTTTGCCGAATCAAGCCTCGAAAATCCATCGAAACGGCACTGCAAATTTCACCCTGTGCCCTCCATCCAAAGAGAATGCTCGGCTGCTGCGACATCCCGCGACACCCGCGGGAGACCGAGCAAACAAAACAAACGCGCAAAGCTTCCGGAGGTCTGCGCGGATTCCTTGGGTCGGCGCGCGGGGGGAAGCAGCAGAAGGATGAGGAGGAGCGGGAGGGCGGGCGAGGAGGAAGGGTAATTCGGAACTCGAGGGCGCAGAATCCAAAGCATGAGGGCCTGCACTCAAAAGTCTTGATCGCACACCCCCTCACCTATGCCCCGACCCCCTCTGTGAGGGGCAACGATTGGGGGGCCCAGCTCAGGGGAGGAAACAATCGACCTCGAATCGGTGACGCATCGCCGATAGATCGGCGCAGGGCCTCCGAATGCGATTCCGCACCTTCCTTCTAGCCCGGTGAGCTGTCAAGGCTGTCTGGGCGATACTCAGGGGCGCGCAAACATGGATTAGCGATCCATGGATTTGGCGCGCGGTCGCCAAATCCATGGATCGGGGGAGGTACCCTCCCCAAAATGCAGCCGCTGCCGCCTCGTTCGGCGGCGGAAATCCGCGATTTCGAATGGAAAAGGGGCTCGTCGCTAATCCACGCCCCCTTAATCCATGTTTTCGATCGCCTGGGTATGGGCGATGCACGGGTGATCGTGGGCAGATGCGCCTCCCCACCTCCCCCGAGCCTGCCCCCCACGGCCTGTTGTCCCGGAGCCCCTGCCACACCCCCTGCCATCGCTCGAGCGTCCATTCCCCGTGCTCTGTCTGGTTTCGCATGTTTTGTGTTCTTGTTTGTTTTTTTTTGTTTACTCTCAAGATGATCCAGGATGTTCAAAGATGGTCCAGATCTTCTGTCAGCGACTCCGAGGGGTGCGGTTTGCAAGAGGTGTGGCTCGCAACCCGCGTCTGGGGAGGCGGGCGAGGATCTCGACAGAGGCCCCTGCCGCGCCCCCCCCCTTTGCGCAAAGCGGCGCCCACCGAGCCCTGACGGCGCAGATCGCACACCACACCCCGGCGCAACCACACCCTTCATAGTCGCCGACTCTGACGCTGGCCTCGCCCAGAATAATCTGGAGGCGCGCACAAGGGGGGCACGCGAGAAGGGGAAATGCTTCTCAGCGGGAGGCTGCTTCGCAGCGGGCGCCGGCCCTGTACCTCTGGACGGGGCCCGCGCCTTCGAAGAAGCAGCCTCCTTCTCCCCCCTCCCAGGGACCCCCTGGTGCGCGTGGCTGAAAGAGGCACCCGTCCGAACTATGCCCGCACTGAGTATCGTTTCACCGATCCCCATCCCCAGCGGCGTGGCCTGGGCCCCACGGGCCGATTTACCCCCCCAGACAGGGGATACAGGCCGTGCCCTTCGGGCTTCGAGGGGTGCCTCCCCAACTGGGGTGGTAATTTGGTGGGGGTCTCGAAGGGGATGAGGATGGGGATGGGGGTAGGTTCAACGATACTGACCTGGGTGATGGGCCTGTCTTCCACTACCACCACCACACGTTGGAGGGGAGAAGGAGGTGGAGGATGAGGAGGATGAGGAGAGGAGGAGGAGGAGGAGGAGGAGGAGGAGGAGGAGGAGGAGGAGGAGGAGGAGGCTGAGGAGGGAGAGGAGAGGAGGAGGAGGGGGGGAATGGGAAGTGGAGGAGGACCCCCTCCCCCCCCACACCTCCTCTCCGGCGCGCGGAGCGCGCCGCGGGCGGCGCATGATGCGCTGCCCGCGGGCGACACGCAGGGTCCTCGCCCTCGCCCCCCCTTCTCTGAATGGGGCCCAGGGGTGCAGAAATCAGACAGACATATCCCAGCCAGGATTCCCCATACCTTCAACATGTTAGGGATGTTTGTCTTCCCCTCCACTTCCCATATTTCCCACATTTTCCTCTGAATCGACGCTTCTTTGTGCGTAGGGGAGGAGGGCGACGCCCCATCCTGATACGAAGCCAGGACGAGAACAAATTCGGGTGAGGATAAATCGGGAATCTCTGGGATCCAGCGGCTCCAGAGGACGCCTCGGGCGCTAAGACGAAGCCAGAACGAGGATAGAATCGGGTGAGGATAAATCGAGACTCTCTGAGACACGGTGGCTCTGGAGGCTGTCTCGGGCGCCGCGGCCTTCTCAAAGCGCTCCAGAATGCTCTGAGAGCGTTCCGGAACGCTCTGCAACGGATTGCTCCTCGTCCTAGCCCCGTCCGAGGGGCGGCGACGCCCATCTCCCGACTCTGCTCAGAGGGGATTCCGGCTGCACCAAACATTCGGGCCCACTTCGGAGGTATACAGATTTACGACAAGGGGGCGTCCAAGTTCAGCACGGTGCGTTAGAAAGGGTGGACATCGACCACTGTTGGAGGCTTGTAAATGGGCACCGACACCAACACAGGAGTTGCCTCCACCGGGGGAAGAGGACTCCAGATTTGGGTGTCGGTGGTAATCTTTCGACCACCTAGAAAGCTCGAGCGTTACCGCCATCACCGAGGTCAAGATCATCTTCCCTCGGCAAGGGTGCCCAGAATCGAATCGATAAGTCGGATCGGTGATCAAAATGAATCGGATATGCGGAAATCGCCAGCCAAATCGGGAGACGCCGAATCGGCGGATAACGGCAAGCTGGAAAACCTCAATTGGGATATCGAAATCCGAATCGGAATCCGAAGCCAAATCGAATCGGAATCGCAAGCCATCGAAACCGAATCGAATCGAATCGGGGGAACCGAAAAGAGTCCTGCTCGGTGGAGGCACACCGCCGATATTGGTGCTGGGGACAACTTCAAGGCCTCCGACACATGGTGAAATCAAGAAGTACCCATACTACTAATTCCCCAGCCTCTCCCAGGGTGCGTTCTGACTCGAATTCCGAGGCGAATCCAGCGGTGGCGGCGAAGGCCCCCCATGAGGCTCTAAAAAGGAAAACGAGGCAAGGGTAGCGGCTCCCTGAGTTTCCACCTTCCACACCTTCCGACAAGAGGGTGGCTGATCTAGTGATCTCCTCGAGGGAGAACAAGCTGCATTCATATATACATACACATATATATACACAATATGTACATATATATATATATATATAATATATATATATATATATATATATATATATATATATATATATACAGTCGGAGTTCCAAACGGACTTCCCGGATCGAGGCTGGACCCCATGGCTGGCGCAGTCCGCACGCCAGGGAAAGGGGCCCAACGGAGGCTCAAGAGATCCGTGCGGAGCTACGATCGATCATGGAAATGACAGCGCTTCTCCCTCGAGAAAATCAGTCGACCAGCAACCTGCTGCTCGGCAGGTGTGGAAGATGGAGAGTCAGGGTATGGGCACGTCTTTGAGCCTGCTATTCTCTTTGGGCCCTTGCATGTACGGGGGGGCTGAATCTGACGCAAGCCGCAAACGACTTGCACGTGCGGAAATCACGTAACTTGTAAGCCAAGTGCGCGCTAGTGTTTGCTCGGACAGGGACGATGGGCGGGGGAGGGGCGAACGTCATGTAAAAAAATGCCCGAGTCTACAAACGAATCAAGATCCTCCTCCTCCTCCTCCTCCTCCTCCTCCTCCTCCTCCTCCTCCTCCTCCTCCTCCTCCTCCTCCTCCTCCTCCGAATATCGTCCCCCCTCTGGCGCGCCGGCCGGACACCGATCCTGCGAACCACTGGTTGAACAGGGGCCGACCGTCTCAGCATTCCTATAAACTTACCACGACATGTTCTTAGAACCCAACAGTGCTCCAAAAACAAAAACAATGTTCTTGGTGCGTAAAGCCGACGTGTCTAATTTAGCCTGGCGAAGGACCCAACCATGTGCAATTGTGAATGCCGCAGTTGTGAATACCACATTCGCCCGCGCCCCCTACGCGGCCACGAACCGCGCGAGGGGCGCGCCGAAATTCGCGGCGCGGTGCACGACGCGAACGAAGACGATAGGTCTTCGCGCGAGAGACTGAGCGCGGGCGAGTCTGCGCGAGAGTGTCTGATAGCGGATGAGTCTGCGCGCGCCCGAGTCTACGCGCGTTGAACGCCGACGCCCACGTCGGCGCGCCCCTCGCAAGGATCGCGCCCGCTTCCTCCCCGCCCCTTGTCTCCCTTTATGCCCGCGCGCGCCAGTGCCCATGGCTGCGGGCGCGCCGCGCGGAGCCCCCGCTGCGCGCGCCAGTCGCCCCGAAGGGGCCTCGGCGACGCGCGCGGGTCCGCTGCGCGGAGCAGAGAGAGCTAGCTGGCCGGCTGAGAGCGGGCAAGGCTCTGGCCGCTGGGCAGACCGACGACGGGGGCGAGCGAGGCGCTGGGCAGCGCGCGGCGCGGAGTTCCCCGCGACGCGCGCCGGTCGCCTCGAGAGGGCCCCAGCGACGCGCGCGGGTCGTCCGCGGCGCAAGGCCAAACAGTCAGGCCATCGAGAGACGGCGAGGTTCCGGCGGGCTCCTCCTCAGGTCAATCCTCGCGGATAAACTCCGTGAGGCCCAGCTCCCTGGCGAGGGCCGTCGCCTCCCTCCAACATCGCTTCGTGCGCGCCGCAAACTGCTCCAGCTGATTCCGCAAGCCCCTCCGACGGCCCTGCCAAGGAAGAACTCTATGCGCGGCGCCGGCATGAGCAGGAGGTCCTCGTTGCGCGTAGCGCGCGAGAGCAGTGCGTAGAGCTCCAGCCACCAGTCGTCGTCCATCTTCTTGCCGTTCCCAACCTCGTGGCGGTCGCAGTCCAAGATCACGCCTGGGAGATGTCGGCCGAGGGAGCAGCGCGCAGACCAGCCGAAGGCCCTGGGCGAGAGTCCACAGGACCGAGAGAAGGTCTGGCCGCCATGCGAACCCAGACAGTGGCGCCTTCGGTGGAGCTCCCTATGGGGCCACGATCCTCGTGAAGGGTGTGCCGAAATGGCCCGAGGCCGCCATGCGAAACCTGCCACTGGCGCCTTCGGTGGAGCTCCTGTGGGGCCACGATCCTTGTAAGAGGCCTGCCGAAATGACCCGAGGCCGCCATGCGAACCCTGCCACTCGGGCCTTCGGTGGAGTGTACCGATATGGCCCGAGGCCGCCATGGGAACACTGGCGCCTTCACTGGAACTCCCCATGGGGGCACGATCCCCGTGAGGGGTGTGCCGAAATGGCCCGAGGCCGCCAAGCAAACCCTGCTACTGGCGCCTTCAGTCGAGCCCCCTATGGGGCCACGATCCTCGTGAGGGGCGTGCCGAAATGGCCCGAGGCCGCCACGCGCACCCTGCCACTGGCGCCTTCGGTGCAGCCCCCTATGGGGCCACGATCCTCGTGAAGAGTGTGCCGAAATGGCCCGAGGCCGCCATGCGAAACCTGCCATTGGCGCCTTCGGTGGAGCTCCTGTGGGGCCACGATCCTGGTAAGATGCCTGCCGAAATGGCCCGAGGCCGCCTTGCGAACCCTGCCACTCGGGCCTTCGGTGGAGTGTGCCGATCTGGCCCGAGGCCGCCATGGGAACACTGGCGCCTTCACTGGAGCTCCCTATGGGGACGCGATCCCCGTGAGGGGTGTGCCGACATGGCCCGAGGCCGCCAAGCAAACCCTGCTACTGGCGCCTTCAGTCGAGCCCCCTATGGGGCCACGATCCTCGTGAAGGGCGTGCCGAAATGGCCTGAGGCCGCCACGCGAACCCTCCCACTGGCGCCTTCGGTGGAGCTCCCTATGGGGCCACGATCCAAGTGAGTGGTGAGCAGAAATGGCATGAGGCCACCATGCGAAACCTGCCATTGGCGCCTTCGGTGGAGCTCCTGTGGGGCCACGATCCTGGTAAGATGCCTGCCGAAATGGCCCGAGGCCGCCTTGCGACCCCTGCCACTCGGGCCTTCGGTGGAGTGTGCCGATCTGGCCCGAGGCCGCCATGGGAACACTGGCGCCTTCACTGGAGCTCCCTATGGGGACGCGATCCCCGTGAGGGGTGTGCCGACATGGCCCGAGGCCGCCAAGCAAACCCTGCTACTGGCGCCTTCAGTCGAGCCCCCTATGGGGCCACGATCCTCGTGAAGGGCGTGCCGAAATGGCCTGAGGCCGCCACGCGAACCCTCCCACTGGCGCCTTCGGTGGAGCTCCCTATGGGGCCACGATCCAAGTGAGTGGTGAGCCGAAATGGCACGAGCCCACCATGCGAACCCTGCCACTGGCGCCTTCGATGAAGCTCTTATAGGGCCACGATCATCGTGAGGGGTGTGCGGAAATGAATCGAGGCCGCCATGCGAACCCTGCCACTGGGGCCTTCGGTGGAGCTCCCTATGGGGCCACGAAGCGCTGTACTGGGTGGGTGAAACGCAGGGCGGAAGGAGGAGAGATGGGGAGGAAGGAGGGAGAGACGCGGGGATCGCCTTTTCAAAACGAGGACCCAACACCACAGGATGGTTGGGAACGAAGGCCCCAGCCAGAAATGGTCTGAGAACATGTCGCGCAGACCGCACAAAGTTATTAGAACCTTCTTTGGCAGGCCTCTAGGCGAGCTGGGACGCTTCGCCACTGCTTGATCGTTCTCCTCCGAATGTCGCCCCCCTCTGTCGCGCCAACCGGACACCGATCCTGCGGGCCACTGGCGCGAAGCGAGGGCCTCTCCGGCCACGGCCACGGCCCGACCGTGGCCACCCGGCCACGGCTCACTGGCGGCTGCCTACGCCCGCTGCTCCTCCCAGGCCCCCCCCAAATCCTGCCCGCCCTCCTCATGCCCTCGCTCCACGTCCTCCTCGCTCCCTCCCGCCTCTCCTCCTCCTCCTCCTCCTCCTCCTCCTCCTCCACCTCCTCCTCCTCCCCTCCTCCCCCCTCCTCCTCCTCCTCCTCCCCCTCCGTCTCCTCATGTCCCAGCCGTGGTGACGCGGGCGGAGCAGGCAAACGGAATCTCTCCTCTGCCTCCTTCTCCTGCTCCTCCTCCCCCTCCCCCCCTCCTCCTCCTCCTCCACCCCTTCCTCCTCCTCCTCCTCCTCCTCCTCCTCCTCCTCCTCCTCCTTCTGCTCCTTTTCCTCAGTCTCGTACTCCTCCTCCTCCACCTCTTTTCCTTATGGATGACTCCCCCCCGTGGTGTCCCCAGGCGAGTCGGTAGGGCGGGAAGGGCGCTTTCGCCTGAGACTTCCTCGCCATGAAGCTTCACATTTGCAACCGTTTCACGGATGGAGGGCGGACCTTTTTCAAAATGTTGCTCTCGCCCTAGCGTCGCGCACGTTCGTCCTCAAAATTTGCAGCAATTTCACGGATGGAGGGCTGGCCGTTTTCAAAATGTAGGCATCGCCTTAGCGCCGCGCACATTGGTCCGAAAAGCTTACAGCAGCTTCAAAGATGGAGGACGGCTTCAATGCAAAATATGGCTCTCGCCATAACGCCGCGTACAGTCATGTTAACAGTTCGCAGCAGCTTCATGCACTCATGTAGTCGAAGTCCCAGGAATTATGTTCGGATGCGATTCAGGATTGACAGACAGGACTCGAGCTGAACAGTGCGTTTCGTTTTCGTTTTCCTTCGTTGTGGATTCGTTCTGCCTTTGCTGCGAAACAACATCAAAACGAACACGGTTCACGAAATCGCCGAAACACCGTTCAGCTCGAGCCCTGTTGTCAGAAGGCAGCAGTAACGTTGATTCGTGGTGTTGAGGTTCCAGGAAAAGCGTCCTGGTACGATTTACGATTGCCAGGACGCAACATTCACGTTGATCCGTGGCATTGACGTCCCAAGAACGATGTTTTGGCACGGTCGAGGGTTCTCACACGGTTGTCTCCTGATTGGCCGCTTCCACCAATGAGATCACATTCTTGCAGGGCCATATAGCAAGGACACTTGGAGGCATGGCCCTTACTGCAGCATCGTTGATGCGTCTTAGGTCTACACTGGTCTTCCCCCTCCTCCTCCCCTAGAGGAAAAAATGTATACATTCTGCATCAACATAATCTGTTGGAGCTCCGCGCGGACTTCTTAGATCGGCGGAGCGCGTCAGGGGCGGCGCTGGAGGCGCCGCCAATGGGGCCCAGCGCAGATCCATGAAATCCGCGCGGACCTCCGAGAAATCATGCTGATTCCGTTGTCCGCTCTTCGACCCGCCTTCCCCTCAGGGCGCGAGCAGACCAACCGCTCTCCCATGCACGGGGCTCGCGGTGCCGGCCACCGCCCCGATCAGCGAGGAGCCGACGAGGACGAGCGCGCCCGGGCCACACCGCCCGAGCAGGTCCTTCAGCGCCCCCGGGGGCGCGCCCGCGGACGCGAGCGCCAGGGCGCCCGTGGACGCTCCGCTGGCCATCTGCACGGCAGGGGGAGCCCAGGCACGCCCCCAGCGGGTCTCGGTGGGTGCGAGACTGATGGCACCACCCCCACAAACAAGCTGGTCGAGCACGAGACCGTGGAACGGGGGTTGTATACCAAAAGGTCTTCACCTGGGAACACGACTTCTGCACATCACCCGCGCAGGCAAGCTGGTCCGGCACAAGGTAAGCGCTCGGGGGCGGTGGCCATAAATCGGCCACTGACTCGGCCCCAGACGAAGATTCATCGACATCGAATCGGGCATTTGGTTCGAACCGGAATAGCCGGATCGATTCACATCGACACGACGTCCAGCGTCCTGGAACGATGAAGTCGCCGTGCTGCCATAGGCCACGGAAAGCCTCGGTCACGAACAGGTTCCCCGATCTCGAGCCCAAACACCAGAGCCCCTCCTGAGCCCGAGGCGGTCTTTCTTTCAGCGTCGTATCGAATCGGGGACTCGGATCGAATCAAAACGTGAGTCGGATCGGTTCACACCGACACGGAGTCGGAATCGACTCGAATCGGCCGCACCAGAGAACGCAACAGCGTCTTGTTCGCATCGGGCCGCCTCAGATCACAGGCCTATCATAATCGAATCGGCTCGGACTGGACAGAACCGAGATCGAATCGAAAGGAGCGGATCGAAACGGCTCGGCCCCAAACTTCTGGCGCCCTGGAAGGATATCTCGCGACGGGTGGGGCCTCTGAAGCCCGCTCGGGGCCCTGCTCGCTCCTCAGAGAACGACCCGCTGCCCGAAGTCCACGCCAAAGGTGGGATCGAGAACTCGGGACCCTTGGTTTTTTGTGTAAAAAAAAGGCGTCGGGGATCCGGGGGAATGTGCACACAAGCGGGTGCGGGTCGACGCAGGCGCCCTGCCGAGAATGCAGCGGGGCCTCTTGGAAACGTCCCTAATGCACTAAGAGGACGTCCCTCCCACTCAGATCTCATCTACAAGCGGCAACTCGTAAACTTTCGGAACTCCGCGCGGATTTCTTGGTGCTCACGTCGGGGTTCCCTGGCGTGGCTGCCGGCACGACCCCACGGCCAGGGCCTCCGAGGGCGAGCGAGGCCCGTCACCTCAGAGGCAACCAGCCGAGGGGTCGGCCCTGCCCCGCCGAAGATGCCGAAAGCCGCCGACATCGACGACGACCAGGTGCGGCTCCCGTCGGGGTCCTCCGGCGTGGCTGCAATCACGACCCGTGCACGTCAGCATTGATGACGGATCCGTGGACGTGGCGCGCGGGCGCCAGACCCACCAGTGGGGGGAGGTTCGACCGAAACCATGAGGTCGACGGAGCGCACCGATTCTGCCCCGGAAGCGGGGTCCGTCGCTGACCATTGAGGAACAAAAACAGCGACACCCGACATACACATAAACTCTCGACGGTCCGTGCGGGTTTCTTGGATCTGCGCTGGGTCCCACTTGCGGCGCCTCCAGTGCCGCCCCTGGCACGCTCCGCACGCCACTGAGCGTTGTCCAGAGCCGATCCACGAAATAAGCACGGACCGCAAAAAATGCATGTCCATGCCATTTTCTGCTTCTCTAAATCAATACGCCTCAATCTATGATTGCGCTTTCTCGGATATGAATGGGCACCGCCATTCCAAGGACCTCGGGACGTGCACGGGGGTGAGGGGCAACGATAGAAAGGGGGGGACACATCGACCTGCAATCGGCCATACATCGCCGATAGATCGGCGATAGGCCCCCGATAGCATATCCGCACGTTCCTGGGCCGCGTGGGGCGATCAAACCTGGAATAGGCGATACATCGCCGATAGATCGGCAATAGGCCCCCGATTGCATCTCCGCACGTTCCTGGGCTGGGTGGGACTACCAGACCCCTATCGGCGATGAACGGGCGATTGGGGGTCGCTGCGTCCCCCCCTGTGCGTTCCCCCCTATCGTTGCCCCTGACTGGGGCTGCAGGGTTCGAGGCTTGGGGGCTCGGGGATCCCTCCGAAGTCTCTCGTTGCCTCCGGGCCTCCCGGAAGCTCTTCGTCGCCGCGGCCAGGTCCGCCCGGGGCTCGGGTCAAAGCGCTCCCCTTGAGAGGCCGTGGCATCCATCATTTTTGGCTGAGGAGGAGGAGGAGGAGAAGGAGGAGAAGGAGGAGGAGATGAAGATGGGGGAGGAGGAGGAGGTGGAGCAGGAGGAGGGGGAATACGAGGGGGAGGAGGAGGAGCTGGAGGAGGAGGAGGAGGAGGAGGAGGAGGAGGAGGAGGAGGAGGATGAGGAGGGGGAGGAGGAGCAGGAGGAAAGGGAGGGGGAGGTGGAGGAGGTGGAGGAGGGGGAATACGAGGGGGAGGAGGAGGAGCTGGAGGAGAGGAGGAGGGAGGAGCAGCAGGAGGGGGAGGAGGAGGAAAGGAGGAGGAGGGGAGGAGGAGGAGGAGGAGGAGGAGGAGGAGGAGAGGAGGAGGGGGGAGGAGGAGGAGGAGGAGGAGGAGGAGGAGGAGGAGGAGGAGGATGAGCATCAGTTGTGGCCTGTCCCTCCCTGTCGTGGCCCCTGCGGGACGCGCGCGGGGGCCTGGGCTCCCCCCCTGGTGGCCGCCTCGGGCCCGACGACGGGGCGGAAGCAGCGCATGCAGGCCAGCGCCCCCTTCGGGCACAGGCCCTCGGCGACGGGGCCCCTGCCGCCAAGGACCACGCTCCCATCCTTCCGGGGCGGGGATATCCTCCTCCTCCTCCTCCTCCTCCTTCTTCTCCTCCCTCTCCTCCTCCTCCTTTACTGATTCAGACGGGGGGGGGGGGGGGGGGGGGGGGGGGGGGGGGGGGGGGGGGGGGGGGGGGGGGGGGGGGGGGGGGGGAGGGGGCGGGGGGGGCTCAGCTACCCCCTCCCCCTCCCTTTTGGCCCCCACTGCCGGACCCCTTCCCGCCCCCCCCCATACTCTCTACCCCGATTTCGTCCGCCCTGCGGAAGCCTCCCCCCCCTCCCTCCCCTGCGGAAGCCCCCCCCCGCCCCTCCCCCCCTTGAGGGTCCAGGATTCGGAGGGTCCCGTTTAGGGAGGGGTCCCAGGTAATAGAAATATATGAATGGGAATATTGATACATTGGTGCCCCCTGGGACCCAAATACATCCATATCCACCGCCTGCTGGGGTCCCAGGCTGTGTTCCACAGGCGATGGATATGGATATATTCCCGCCGCGCAATCCTTGTTCATGCTGGCCCATGGGAAGCCGCCTGCCCCCCCCGCCGTGGGGCAATCCGGCTTCTCAGATGCGGGGCCTCATTCCAAGAAGCGGCGCGTGAACGTGGGCGCTCTGCAGGGAGGGCGCCCCCCACATGGTCAAGACAGGATTTCTGGCTCGACTGCCGACTGCCTCCGAGCGGCGACTCCGCCACCGTCGGCTACACTTATGTCGGGCGTGTCCTCCTACAGGCGGATTCTACATATTCCAAACGTGTTCTAACATGGTCAAAGAAACGTCCCCAAACAATTTCTATACAATTTTCGAATGCTCCTCCTGTAGAGGGACAGGCCCGACTTCAGGCTGCACGCAAGAGTGCCCCTGGGCGAGAGTGACCTCTGGCGCGCGGCTGTAGACGGGGGCCCCGAAGGGCGCAAATCCAGGCGCGCGGGGGCCAGGTGCTGGGGCCACCCCTGCGGGCCCGCACCAGAAAGGCCGCTCTGGCGAGAGGGCCCTCTCACAGGAGGCCCCCTGCGAACAGTACCCCACCACCCCACGACTTCGAAAGGGGGAGGTGGGGTAGGGTCCGCATGGGGCCTCCTATCTTACGTGTGGCCGACACCGGGGAGGGAGAGGTGAGTATCGTTTAACCGAACCCCATCCCCACCAGCGTGGGCTGGGCCCCACTGGCCGATTTACCCCCATAGATGGGGATGTAGGCCGTATCCTTCATGTTTCGAGGGGTGTATCCCCAACTGGGGGTGTAATTTGGTGGGGGGCCTCGAAGGGGATGAGCATGGGGATGGGGATCGGTTAAACGAGTCGGCGGTGAATCAGCCTCCCCTTAATAAACCTCCCCTTATTGAAAACGGCCTGGGACCGAAACCGACGGGCCTGGACCCGCAACAATTATAGCCGCGACGCCCTCTCGCGAACCGAAAACGGCCAATTCCTTAATCGACGTGTCAGGGCAGGAGGTCTGTCCACCCCCGAGATCGGTTAAACGACACTGAAGGGGGGCGACGGCAGCGAGCGAAGCCCTTCGGATAACGACCACGCCTTGCCCTCGACCGTCTGCACCGGCGCCCCGCCCGACGCCGCAGCCCCTGGGACTCCGAAGAGCACCTCCTTCGGACCTCCCACGCCGGCCTCCTTTCGACTACACGCAAGAGTGACCTGTGGGCAAAGAGTGACCTCTGGTGCGCGGCTTTTTGGCGACCGCGGGGGGACCAGACACAAGCGCGCACGGCGCCACTATCGCATCGCGTTTGGCGACCTGGGGAACCCAGTGGGCCCGCACCAAAGGTCACTCCGGCGCAAGGTCACTCTTACGTCTAGTCGATCCTTCATGGCGTCCTGGACGGCCCGCGCGGCGGGGACGCTCACCCGGCGCGCGATCCCCGCGGTGCCCTTCTCCGTCTCCTCCGCGTCCTCCCAGCTGCCCATCTTGTCGGTCCCGATCGTCTGCACCACGCACGGCCCAGACCTCGGGGGGCCGCTCGGCGGGACGGGGGGGGATGCCGCGGGCAGATGGACGGGAGGGTCGATCTTGTGGGAAGGGACAAAGCCCCGAGATCGCCCTGAGACGGCCCAGATGAGCTCAGAAGGTGCAGAGGATGCAGGACCGCGTTGATGCGATAAGATGATAGGCCGATTCTATGGGAAAGGCTTCGGACAGGAAAGATGATCCGCGCAAGCGCTGGGTGACCTTACCACCCTAACCCTTACACCCCGTTCCCTAACACGCCAGCATCAACACACTAATGTCACCACCTTAACTCCAACATAATTTGATGGAGTTTGTCTTGTGAACTCACATCATCCTGACCCCCGGCGCGCGAGGAAATGGGCCCGCCAACCGTCCCCCCGGTCCCGGAAACGGCGCCATCCGTCACCGCCTGCCAAACCGGCGCCCTCGCCTGAGACATCCTCGAAAAATCGCCCCCCGGACCCCCCCTAAGAGGCTCTCAACCGCCCCCCCGGTCCCGGAAACGGCGCCATCCACCGCCTGCCAAACCGGCGCCCTCGCCTGAGACATCCTCGAAACATCGCCCCCCAGACCCCCCCCAAGAGGCTCTCCGAGGGGTCCGGGGGGAAGGGGTCTGGGGAGGTCCGGGGGGGGGATCCGGGGGAGGGGTCCCGGGGGTGTCCGGAGGGCTCCGGGGGGGGGGGGTCTGGGAGGGGTGTGGGGGAGCCCAGGGGGGTCCGGAAGGGGGAGGGCAGGGGGGGGAGTGGTGGGAGGGGGGGAGAAGGGGACACCAGGGCGCAATATATATATATATATATATATATATATATACATACATATACATATATATATATATATATATATATATGTATATTCATAAACTCACGATCAACCGCAGAGCGGCGGCTACTCGTAACACACTAACTCCAACACCTAACTACTAACCGTAATTCCCTAACCCTACCACCCTGACACCCTAATACCTTACCCCACACTCGTCCTGGTCTTGACACCCTACATCCAGCCCCGACGGCAGTGCACATGACCCCAGCATCCTAAACCTGACCAACTGCACACAAACCCTATCACTCAAACCCTAACACACCAATATCCTAGTCCTACCACCCCATGCTATCTCTGAACTCTTTACCCATAACGCCCTGGCACGCTAAAGCCAACACCATCGACCTAACAACCTACCCCAAACCCCAAACACCGGAAACCCAACACCCTGTCCCTCAAGCCGTCACCGTACCGCCCTAAGCAAACCCCTAACATAATAACCCCAACACCAAACACCCAATCCCCTAACCCTAAGCACCCTAACACCCACACCCTAACACCCTAACACCCTAGCCCTCAGCACCGTAATCCTAATACCCTGGCCCCAACCCAACATCATATCGCCAATCCTACGCACCCCAACCCTGGCAACTTGACTCTAGCACTCTAATCCTAACACTAGCCTCCCTAAGCCTAACACAATCTAGCCACAAACCCCCGAACCCTAACACCCGAACGCTCCAACCCTGGCGGAGGCTCAGCGCGGTCGGAGCGACAAACCGGGCAACGGAACCGCAAACTGGGCGCTAAACGGAAAAGCAAAGAGGAGGGCGGCCGCGGAGGGGGGGAGGAGGGGCGGGGACGCGCGCCGAGACCTCGCAGACCTTGGCAGCGGGCGGCCCCGGGCTCTGGAGAGGAGGGAGTCGTGCGACGTGCAGCCCAGGAGAGGCAGGAAGTGCAGCCCAGGAGCAGCCCAAGAGCAGCCCAGGAAGAGGCCCAGGAAGTGCAGCCCAGGAAAAGGCCAGGCGCGGAAGGGAGAGGCGGACCGCCCTATGACTATGACCCTGGCCTCGAACGCCTCCTCCGCAGACCCCCTCGCGTCGGCAGAGAGAGCATACCGTGCACCACCACCAGGCCTCCGCGGGACCACTCTGGGCCCACATCTCGGTGGGCATCGGCTCCGTGCCAAGGCACAACAAGCCGTGACCATCAAGAGCCGCGGCCGGGGACGGGCCTGCAGGGGCTCGGCTACGTGGCGGCATACTGTCGATGTCGTTCCTTAGGATTCCATGCCGCAAACAAGGACACGGCGCCATGAGAAAACGTTGCCAAAGCTCACGGCCCCAACTTTGCGACCGAACTCACGACCTGTGTCGATCCGATCCGTGAAGGTCCTGGGGCCCGAACGGGGGGGAAAAGGCAAGTGACGAGCTATGCTTTTCTCACGACGTCCAGATGCCAGCGTCCCAAAGGAAAACCGTTCGAACACCGGCCCCTCACTACCTCCAGAGCACCATCCCGATTGGTTGTCTGAGACGCGTCTCGACATGGATAATGACACGGGTGGGGGTGTGGGGGGGGGGGGCGATGGCCAACAAATACAAAGATCAATCGGACAATTCGCGGCGACGAGCCCCGAACGACGAAAGCCAACGGAAGACCCTGGCGGCACGCGCGAGGAGATGGCGCGAAGGACAGGCGGCCCTCTGAGAACGGCGGGGGCTTCCAAAATTGCAGAGGGGGGGGCGGGAACCTACTGACCCGGGTCAATGCAAACCCGGGCCAGCCGGGCTTCGCAGGATCCTGAAACAGCCTGCAGGAGCCTGCAAGAGCCTGCGCGCCAGCCCGGGTCAATGCAGGCTCCTGGCTCTGCAGGCTCCTGCACCATCAGGCGTTCTGGCTCGGCTTGCAACCGGCACCCTGGGGGGCACCCTGGGGCGCGGGCGGGGACCTCGACAGAGCTCTCCACCGCGCCCCGAAGCGGCCCGACGATGACAATGTCGTGACCCCCAAGCCCCAACGGCGCCGATCGCGAACCACACCCTGCGTACTAGTACGGCAGGGATCGTTCAACCTTGAACGATCGGCCGTTTCCGAAACGTTGGATCGGTCAACAATGACCGATTCTGCGTCCACGGCGGCGTCCAACACTGAACGCCAACGGCAGGGTCGCCGCTGGTCGATACGACGCGAACCTACCGTAACTATACCCTGTTGTATGGGTAAACCAAAAGGTACCGATACCGCTAATCCCCAGACCCCAGACCTCTCCTGGATTGCGTTCTGACCAAGATTTCGAGGCGAAGCCAGCGCTGGTGACGGGGGCCGGCCGGGAGACCCAAAAAGGGGAAAACCTGCGAAGTGTAGGGGTAGGAGACCTCTGATTGTATTCCCCGATCAAGGGAGGGTCTTTAAAGGTCCCCGGTGCGCTGAGCGCGCTGCGGGCGGTGCATGAGGCGCTGCCCGGGGGCGACACCGCGCTGGGACCTCGCCCTCGCCCTCCCCCCCCCCCCCTCTCTACCGGGGGGAGGAGGAGGAGGAGGAGGAGGAGGAGGAGGAGGAGGAGGAGGAGGAGGAGGAGGAGGAGGAGGAGGAGAGAGGAGGAGGAGGAGGAGCAGCAGGAGCAGGAGCAGGAGGAGGAGGAGGAGGAGGAGGAGGAGGAGGGACGAGGAGGAGGAGGAGGAGGAGGAGGAGGAGGAGGAGGAGGGACGAGGATGAGGAGGAGGAGGACGACGACCACGAGGCGGAGGAGGATGAGGAGGGGGATGAGGACAAGCTAGGTGCGCTCGCGTCATATCTGACGTCCTACCCCTCCCTCCCATCCCTTACCATGGCGCTGATTTTCTCTATCCGCGGACGCGTGTCGTAGCGGACCTGTGGCTCCGCGCGCGCGTGCGTAGTGGGTGGTGGTGCACGTGCGTGTGCGTGCGTGCGTGTGTGCGTGGTTGTGGTGCTGGTGCTGGTGCTGGTGCTGGTGCGTGTGGTGCGTGGTGGTGTGCTGGTGGTGGTGCTGGTGGTGGTGGTGGTGGTGGTGGTGGTGGTGGTGGTGGTGGTGGTGGTGGTGGGGTGGTGGTGGTGGTGCGGTGCGGCGCGGTGGTGGCGGGCGGATGGGCGCGCGAGAAAAAGGCCCGCGCTGGGGCGAGAACGCCATCCTGAACGACGGAGGCCAAACACCGATCCGAAAATGAGGCCCACGCTGCAGCGGGAGCACGATTCGGAACGATTCGGGAGCAGAAATGAGGCCGGCGCCTCAACGAGAGCAGCATTTTGGGAAAAAATGACGCCGGCGCCTCAGCGAGAGTCGTTTCCCGGGATTTCCCGGGCATCCTGTGTGTAAGAAAACAGTACGCGGAGGGTGCGCGGCCATCACCCGGACGCCATCAGGGGAAGAGGGAGAGTATTTTCATATTGAGTAATGGAGGAGGAGGCGGAGAAGGACGACGACGACGAGGCGGCGGAGGAGGAGGAAGAGGAGGAGGAGGAAGAGGAGGAGGGACGACGACAAAAAGATAACCTCCGAGGGATCTCGAAGGGCTTCCCAGAGAACTCCTCGGGGGGGGCCTCCCCGGGGCCCCTCGGAGGGATGGGCCCCTGCCTGCCGAGAGCCCCCCCCCCACCGCATCCGGCCGCCTGGGAGGCCGGCCACCTCGCGCGCGCCTGCGCGCGCCCAGAGACCAACGGGGGGGCCTCGGCCGAGGGCAGGGCTTCGAGCTCAGCAGGGTCTTTCGAGTCGTTTCTTGTTCGCTGTCCCCCGTTCTCGCTGTCGCTCTCCCTCGCTGCCGTTGTCCCTCGTGCCTCGCTCAGTGTTCGCTGTCCCTCGCGACCCCTCGTTATGTGTTGTTGTTTGTTAGCCCTCGTGATCTCGCGTGTTCGATATCCCTCGTTTTATGCTCATCATCCGTCGTTTTGTCTTAGTTCCGCCTCTGCCGCAGAACGACATCACAACGACGCAATTTAGCTTGAGCCCTGGCAGAGGAATCCCGGAGGCCAACAACAACAACAACAACAAACATGCTACCTTCATGCAGCATGCTTCAGCATGCCACATGCATCCACCATGATGCTAACACCACTTAGGAGAACTACATGAAAATGGTGGCCGATATTCCCACACCCATTTTTCCTGCCAACACCTCTCCAAAGACACATTCCCACTTCCAGCTCGCACGAAGCGTCAACAAAAACAGTGCAACTATGGGGAGCGTTGAGGATCCAAACCACGAAGGATTCGAGCCCCATGAGAGGGGCAGCATGTAGGAACATACGTAGCACACAACGGACTCGAGTCCCAATCGAAGGGAAATTGTCGGAACATACGTAACACACAAAGGATTCAAGCCCCAGTCGAGTGGGAATCTACACGACCATAATGAAACATAAACGATTCGAGCCCCAATCGAAGGGGCAATATATCGGAACATGCGTATCATACAAAGGATTCGAGCCATGGGAAAAAAACGATATATCTATATCTATGCACATACGCGTGTCCCGGAACATACGTAACAAAAAAACACGACGACGTCGAGCTCCAGAACAGGGGCGGCGAATCCTATGGGGACCGAAAAGCACTCCCCGAAAACATATCCCAATACTAGAAAGTGCCTCCTGTGGCATCTTGGAGCCTCCTCCTGGGGGCGGGGGGCCGAAAGACGCTCCCCGCACACATAGTTATCCCAATGCACGAAAGCGTCTCCTGGGAGCTCCTGGGTACGGGAGGGCCGAGTAGCGCTCCCCGAACACATCTTCCAAGACAGAAGAATGCCTTCTGGGGCCTCCTGTGGGCAGGAGGGCCGAAAAACTGCCCCCGATAAGATATCCCACGAGCGTCCTGGGGCCTCCTGGAGCCTTCCAAAAGTAGCGGCAAGAATGCTCTGACCCGACTGCGGCGCTGAACTGCAAGAAAATCTCGAGCCAAAAGACCGTGCCGACATCCGCGAGTAGCAGCAATCTTGTTCTGAAGGACCCCTTGTGGGACTCAGTTGTAAGGGAGACTCAAGCGGAACGGCCGCTTCAACATCCGCAAGTTGCGGCAAGTCTGCTCCTGTGGTACTAAACTGCGGGGAAGACGTATCAGGCGAGAGCGCCCTTCCTGAGATTCGGGCCCTCTCTGGCCTGTGAAGAAATATCGCACAGGCGCGTTGTTGTTGATGTTGTCGAACTCTCGCTACTGAAAAATAATTATCGTTGGTCCCCCCACTCCGGTGCACATACTACTATTTCAATTGAGGTGCCCCCCCAGGCGTTCGCACCTGGTTTTTAATCATCTAAAATCTTCTTCCTCAAACTGGACCCCTGCCCTCCGGGTGACAACAACAACGGCTCCCGCCTGAGACTTCCTTTCGATTTAGCCAAGACCCCCGCTCCCGCCTGAAACTTCCTCGCGTTTTATTCCGGAATCGCTCTCCCGGCGCTCAGGAGTCGCGCTCTCGCTGGAGACTCGCTTGCAATTTACTCAAGAATAGCGTCCTTGCGTTGTAAATGCCCGCAGTTTACTCAAGCGCTGCGCTCCCGACACTCAGGCGCTCGGGGGTCGCGCTCACGCTTGGAACTCCCTCACACGTTACTTAGTAATCAGGGTATCGCTGCCCTTCGTGGCCCCGTTGCAGCCGTTCGTGGCCCCTTCGCTGCCCTTCGTGGCCCCGTTGCAGCCCTTCGTGGCCCCCATCGCTGCCCTTCGTGGCCCCGTTGCAGCCCTTCTTGGCCCCCTCGCTGCCCTTCACGGCCTCGTTGCATCCTTTCGTGGCCCCCTCGCTGCCCAGCGTGGCCCCGTTGCAGCCCTTCGTGGCCCCCTCGCTGCCCTTCGTGGCCCCCCTCGCTGCCTTTCGTGCCCCCTTCGCTGCCTTTCGTGGCCCCGATGCGGCCCTTCGTGGCCCCTTCACTGCCCGTCGTGGCCCCATATATGTATGCCCTTCGTGGCCCCCGCTCGTTCGCGCCCGTCGTGGCCCGTTGTGCATGCCCTTCGTGGCCCCGCTCTCGCCTTTCGTGTCTCCCTCGCTGCCCTTCGTGGCCCCGTTGCTGCCCTGAGTGGCCCCGTCCTTTCCCTCCGCGGCCCAGAATACGCATGCCCTTCGTGGCCCCCGCTCGTTCGCGCCCGTCGTGGCCCCATGTGCATCCCTTCATGGCCCCCTCGCTGCCCTACGTGGCCCACTCGCTACCCACAGTGGCCCCGTCGTTGCCTTTTGTGGCCCCGCATTATCTGCCCTTCGTGGCCCCCGCTCGTTCGCGCTCTTCGTGGCCGCATGCGCGTTCCCTTCGTGTCAAGCTGTCGCCCTTCGTGGCCTACTTCGTGCCCTTCGTGGCCCTGCTGTCGTCCTCTCTCTCGCTCTCGCTTTCGCTCGTCGTCGTCGCCGTCGTCGTCGTCGACGTCGACGTCGTCGTCGTCGTCGTCATGGTCGGTCCCTTGTCCGTTCTTTTGGGGTCGGGCTGCCGCCGATCAGCGCTGCCGCTGGCCAGGCCGACGGTCCGTGGCCGCCCCGCCGCTTGCCGGGGCCCGGCCTGCAGGGAAGAAAGGTATACCCCCCAAGAATGTGCGATCGAAGACGAAGAGGGCGGGTATCGAGGGTTTGGGACATGCGCGCGAACGGACACTCGAGCAGATAACAGCGAACAGTCTTAAAATGCTTGAACTTTCCTTTACGAAGAATAAATATTGTTGATCCCCCCGTCCAGTGCACATTGTTTTTTGATTGAACTGCCCTTCCCGGGGCTCGCACCCTGTTCTTTTTATCAGGGAAAATCTTGAACGTCAACCTGTATCGTTGGCCCCCGGTTTACAACAACAACAACAACAACAACAACAACAACAACAACAACAACAACAACAACAACAACAACAATCATCTTAAGACTGATCGCTCTTATATGCGCGCGCGTCACTCAATATGTAAATCCCAAACCCTCGATACCCACCCTCTTCGTCTTCGGTCATACCCCTTTGGGGGTATATCTTTTTTACTCGCCACGTGTAGTTGGCGCAGCCCCTAAAACAGGAAGAGCAGGGGGAAGGAGGAAGGGAGAGCGAGGAGGAAAAGAGTGGGGGGAGGGAGGGAGGAGGGAAGGGGCAAGGGGGGGAGGATGGATGGAGGACGAAAGAGGTTAGCAGGAGGGGAGGGGGGCAAAAGAGGAGGTAAACAAACGGACGAACCAGACAGACGGGTCGAGCGGCGGACTTTGAGGGGCGGGTCGGGCTGGCGGGGCGGGCGGACGCCAACGGACGGGTCGGGCGGCGGACCCTCGCTGGCGGGTCGGGAGCCGTTGTTGTTGTAGTCCGGGGGGCCAACAACACAGTTTGATGCTCAGTTGTGAGGGAGGTCCCAGGCGGGAGCGCCGCTCCCGGAGTAATTTGCGAGGAAGTCTCAGGCGGGAGCGCTTCCGCCTGAGTAAACTGCGAGGAAGTCCCAGGCGGGGGCGGGGGTCCGGAGTAATTTGCGAGGAAGTCTCAGGCGGGAGCGCCTCCGCCTGAGTAAACTGCGAGGAAGTCCCAGGCGGGGGCGTGGGTCCTGAGTAAATTTGGAGGAAGTATCAAGCGGGAGCAGTGTTGTTGTTGTCCGGGGGGCCAACAACGCAGTTTGATGCCCACGACTTTCCCTGATAAAAAACAGGGTGCGAGCCCCGGAAGGGGCACTTCAATTGAAAACATATAATGTCCGCCGGAGGGGGGGGATCAACAATAATTATTCTTCAATAATTAGAATTCAACAACGGCTCCCGCCTGAGACTTCCTCGCAATTTAGCCAGGACCCCGTTCCCGCCTGAGACTTCCTCGCGTTTTATTCAGGAATCGCGCTCTCGCTTGGGACTTCCTGAGAATGTATTATCCTGGCGTTCTGGAATCGCGCTCTCGCTGGAGACTTGCTTGCAATTTACTCAAGTAGCGCCCTTGCGTTGGAAATACCCGCAATTCACTCAAACGCCGCGCTCCCGAGACTCAGGCACCCAGGGGTCGCGCTCAGGCTTAGGACCCCCCCGCAGATTACATACGAATCCGGATCTCGCTGCCCTTCGTGGTCCCGTTGCAGCCTTTCGTGGCCCCCTCGCTTTGTTTCGTGGCTCCGTTGCAGCCCTCCGTGGACGCGTTGCAGCCCTTCGTGGCCCCGTTGCAGCCCTTCGTGGCCCCGTTGCATCCCTTCGCGGCCCCGTTGCGGCCCGTCGTGACCCCATATATGTACGCCCTTCGTGGCCCCCGCTCGTTCGCGCCCGTCGTGGCCCCATATGCATCTGCCCTACGTGGCCAAGTTGCTACCCTCAGTGGCCCCATCGTTGCCTTCTGCGGCCTTGCATTATCTGCCCTTCGTGGCCCCCGCTCATCGCTTTCTTCGTGGCCCCATACGCATTCCCCTCGTGTCCCCGCTATCGTCCTTCGTGGCCTACTTCGTGCCCTTCGTGGCCTTGCTGTCGTTCTCTCTTTCGCTCTCGCTTTCGCTCGCCGTCGTCGTCGCCGTCGCCGTCGCCGTCGCCGTCGCCGTCGCCGTCGTCGTCGTCGTCGTCGGTCCCCTGTCCGTCCCTCCTGGGGTCGGGTCGACGGTCCGCGGCCGCCCCGCCGATCAGCGCTGCCCCTGGCCAGGCCGACGGTCCGCGGCCGCCCCGCCGCTTGCCGGGGCCTGGCCTGCAGGGAACAAAGGTCTACCCCCCAAAAGGGGTTCGATCGAAGACGAAGAGGGCATGTATCGAGGGTTTGGGAAATAGGCTTTATTGGACACTCGAGCAGATCAGGGCGAACAGTCTTAAAATGATTGTTGTTATTGTTGTTGTTGGGGGGCCGGTTTGGGCGGTAGCCCGAAACGCTCGAGCGTGAGCCTTCATTTCAAAAGAAATGCAGCCGGCGCCGAGGCGAGAACGACAGTGCGCCTGTCGGGGGTCCAGGAAGAACAGTTGTCTAGCAGTTGACACGTTCAGCAAGCTCGCAGGATCTCGAGGGCGACGACGAAGGCGACCCGAAAGCCCACCACATCCCTGGGCCTCGGCAGAGAGGCCTCGAACACCTCCATCTCCTGGCCGAAGGGCTCGTAGCCGCACGTGTTCACGGCCGCCCGCGCGGGCGCCCCCAGCGCCACCGCCACCATGGCGCCTGGGCGCGGCGGGCCACGCAGGCGCGAGCAAGGGGGGGGGGGGGACCCGCTTGACTAGGAAGAGAAGTATGGCAAGACTAGATTGTCTCAGGATGCATTTCAGGATTTCCGCGGCCCTCATTTCTGCAGCCCGTGTGAAACGTCCGGAATGCTTTGAAACCCTGGGGATCTTGGAACGTATCATTATCATACCCTTTTCCTCCTCTGAGTGACCACTCGTCGACGGACGCAGGACGGCTGCGGCTTGGTCCTGTCGTGTCCACGTTGCAGGAGGACACGTTCTCAGTCGATGCGCACCCCCGACCGCGTCAAAGACGAGCACAAGATGCGAGCAACGCGGGTGCTGTCGGGGTCCTGTCGTTGCGAAGCGGGCATCCTGCGCCTCTCGCCTTTCCTACAAGGGTGTAGTAAGACCAGAGGATCCAGAATCCAAAATTGTGGATTTCAAATTGCCCTTTTCTGGCCCCTGGTAGCCTCCGAATATCTCGCGGAAATCTTGGGCGACCTGCGGAGACATCAGAGTACCTGTCCTGTCGACGCACATGCTGGTCTCTGACACCGCGCAGGTAATGAATTCTCGAGCGATGCCCACTGTCCAACTGCGGAGATGAGTCCAGGCTGGCCTCGTTCAGGCCCGCAGCATTCCATCTGGAGCGCCCGCCCCAGCGCCGCCGCCTCGACATGGCGCGAATCTTCCTTATCCGCCATCGTACTTGCACGGAGTGGGCGTGTTAGAATGCTTTTGTGTAGCCATTCATGGGAGGTTCCGCGGTACCCTTTGGCGTTTGCTTTCGTTTCCCTTTTAGTTCCCTTTTGGTTCCCTTTGGTTCCCTTTGGTCCCTTTTCGTTCCACGGCGCCGCGCGTTGTCATGATGGCGAAATCATGTCCTTCTCATCATCACATCACCCGCATCAATCGACTCATTCGCGCCATCGGAGTTTTGCGAGTAGGCGAAATTCGTCCGTGCCAAACTCATTTGGTCCTTCAGTCTTGAATGAGCGTCTCCCACTGGGCCCAATCCGTGGTGGCGCAAGTAGCAGCCTTGAAATGTCACAACGCCGTCGCGTCGCGTGTAAAGGCAGCGCGGCACCACCCGCCTTTGATCAGAGGTGGTGGCGAAAGCGGCACCGCGGTCGGCTCTTTTGGCGATTGTCCCTTTGGCCTCCCTTGGAGGGCTCGCCCACCTCCTTGTGGTGTCTGGAGTTGCGTGCAAATCTACTGCAAAAAATCCTCCTCCTCCTCCTCCTCCTCCTCCTCCTCCTCCTCCCTCCCCCCCCCTCCTCCTCCTCCTCCTTCCTCCCTCCTCCCTCCTCCTCCTCCTCCTCCGCCTCCTCCTCCACCTCCTCCTATCTCTCCTCCTCCTCTCCTCCTCCTCCTCCTCCTCCTCTCTACCTCCTCCTCCTCCTCCTCCTCCTCCTCCTCCTCCTCCTCCTCCTCCTCCTCCTATCTCAGAGCTGTGCCCCATTTGAGGATTGTACTCTCATGCCAGTAAGCCCTAGCTTTTTATTCTCCATATCCTATGATGGGGTTCTTGGTATTACTTGGACGCCTCCTACTGCCTCTTCCTCCTCTTCTTTCCTCCTCCCCTCCTCATACTCAGACTTACTCATACTCAGACTTACTCATACTCAGACCTACTCATACTCAGACTTACTCACACTCAGACATACTCATACACAGACTTACTCATACACAGACTTACTCACACCCATACGTACTCATACACAGACTTACTCATACCAGATTTACTCATATTACTCATACTCAGACTTACTCATACCCAGACGTACACACACAGACTTTCTCATACACAGACCTACTCATACCCAGATTTACTCATACACAGACTTACTCGTACACATACTTACTCATACTCAGGCATACAGAAGGCCTCAGGAAACCACAGGAGGCCCCAGGAGGCAACAGGAAACGCCAGGAGGCCTCGGAAGGCAACAGGAGGCCCCGAGAGGCCCCAGGAGCAGGAGGCCTCAGAAGGCAACAGGAGTGGCTCCAATCCCATGTGTTTTACGTTTGCTCCTATCGATTGTGCCTCACCTGGAGCACGATTCTTTGATGTTCTACGTCTGTTTCTATAGATGGTCCTTCTCCTGTGAACACAATCCTAAATGTTTTACTCATGTTCCTATGTGTTGGGCCTCTCCTGGGGCACGAGTCCTTGGTGTTTTACGCATGTTCCTATAGATTGCTCTTCTCCTGTGGCTCTAATCCGCAATGTTTTATGCACGTCTGTTGCTATAGGTTGCGCCCCTCCTGAGGCACGAAACCTTCCTAGGAGGTCCCAGGAGGTCCCTAGAGGCCCCTGGAGACCCCAGGAAACCCCAGTAGGTTTCAGGAGGCCCCAGGAGGCCCCAGGCTCATGCACAGAGACGCGCTCGTACTACTGAGGCTCATTCACACTCCAATTCATTCGCAGTTAGATTGATGTCCAGGCCGCCACAACTGAAGCCCGTTAATATTAGAAAGCGCTTGCGCGTAGACATTCACGGCGGACAGGTCCATGCGAGTAGATGCACATATGGGGAGCTCCACGCAATGAATAATCATTTTACCAAACGCCACAGCTTTTCTTCATCATTTCTATATTTAGCTCGTCAACCTCCTCCTACTCCTCCTCCTCCTCCTCCCCTTCTCCTCCTCCTCCTCCTTCCCCCCCTCCTCCTCCCTTCTCCCTCCTATCTCATCCCTCCTACCTCATCCCTCCTCCCACCCCCTACGCCCTCCCACTCCCCCCCCCCTCCGCGCGCAAAAAGCCATAATTATTTTCATCATTTTATTAGAAGCCGTGTTTTTCATCATTCTTATATTCAGCTCCTCCTCCTCCTCCTCCCCCCCTCCTTCTCCTCCTCCTCCTCCTCCTCCCTTTCCTCCTCCTCCTTTCCTCCTCCTCCTCCTCCTCTTCCTCCTCCTCCTCCTTTTCCTCGGCTCATGCTCCTCACAACCCATTCAACGAGCGACTTGTGAGCAATGGATTAGCCTCGGACTTCAAACCGAGGGGGGGCTCCATTCCAGGTGCGTGGCGTCACCTGGGGCAGCGCTGAGCACTACCCACCAGGCCGTGCCCCCCCCAAACGGGGGGAGACCACCGAAGCCACTCCCTGGGAGCCGAGGTATGTGGCGTCACCTGGGGCAGCGCACAGCACTACCCACCAGGCCGTGCCCCCCTCAAAAGAGGGGAGACCACCGAAGCCACTCCCTCTTGATATGGTCCTCAAGCATGTGCCAAGCCAGAAAGACTGAGGACAGAAATCTGGCATCATTGCTGAGGACAAGTGACATCGTCTCTTGGCGGCGAAATGCCAGCTAAGCCTCGCGCGCCACTCTCAGAACGGACACTTCCACGACACTCGTCGATCAGCTTCCGCCGCCGCACGAAAGGCCGTGGTCTGTGTCGTTCTGTCCCCTCCGAAATGAACTTGCTCCAATCCAGAAGCTCGCTCTCACGAGCTTGTATGAAATCCTCCTCGAGGTCCCGCTTGGCCCGCCGACGCACGAAAAGTCCAGGCCTCGCCGCGGGCGTCCTCCACGATATCAGTTCGTTTTCTCGGGCTCGGATGTAGTCTTGCCCCGCCTCGTCCCCAGACACCGCAGATCGTGAGCTAGGCCCGCGACCAGCACGAGCAACATCAGCCTCTACTGGACACTACTAGTGGTACTACTGGACACTACTAGTGGTACTACTGGACACTACTAGTGGTACTACTGGACACTACTAGTGGTGCTACTGGACACTACTAGTGGTGCTACTGGACACTACTAGTGGTACGACTGGACACTACTAGTGGTACTACTGGACACTACTAGTGGTACTACTGGACACTGCTTGTGGTACTACTGGAAACTACTAGTGGTACTACTGGACACTACTAGTGGTACTACTGGGCACTACTAGTGGTACTACTGGACACTACTGGTGGTACTACTGGACACTACCAGTGATGTTACTGGACACTACTAGTGGTGCTACTGGACACTACTAGTGGTTCTACTGGACACTACTGGTGGTACTACTGGACACTAGTGGTACTACTGGACACTACTAGTGGTACTACTGGACACTACTAGTGGTACTACTGGACACTACTAGTGGCACTACTGGACACTACTAGTGGTACTACTGGACACTACTAGTAGCACCACTAGTAGTGTCCAGTAGCACCACTAGTAGTGTCCAGTAGTACCACTAGTAGTGTCCAGTAGTACCACTAGTAGTGCCCAGTAGTACCACTAGTCGTGTCCAGTAGTATCACTGGTAGTGTCCAGTAGTACCACTAGTAGTGTCCAGTAGTACCAGCGTCCAGTAGTACCACTAGTAGTGTCCAGTAGTACCACTAGTAGTGTCCAGTAGTACCACTAGTAGTGTCCAGTAGTACCACTAGTAGTGTCCAGTAGTACCACTAGTAGTGTCCAGTAGCACCACCAGTAGTGTCCAGTAGTACCACCAGTAGTGTTCCGTAGTACCACGAGGAGGAGGAGGATCACGAGGCGGAGGAGGAGGAACTGAGGAGGAGGAGGAGGAAGACCTGGAGGACGAGGGCGAGGTCGAGGAGGAGCAGGAGGAGGGGGAGGAGGAGACCGACGACGGGGTGGGCTCCCGCAGGCACCCACGCCCGCAGCGACACCAGCACCGACGCCCGCGCCGACGAACAACTCCCACTCCGGCGCTGCAAAGGGGGGAGGGGGAGGAGGGGGAGGAGGAGGTGAAGGAGGAGAAGGAGGAGGAGGAGGACGGCGACGACGACGATAACGACGACGGGGAGGAGGACGAGGAGGAGGAGGCGAAGGAGGAGGAGGAGGAGGAGGAGGAGGAGGAGGATGGGGAGGGCGAGGACGAGGAGGAGGAGGAGGACGACGACGAGGAGGAGGACGAGGAGGAGGAGGAGGGGGGAACCAAAAGGAACCAAAAGGGAACCAAAAGGAACCAAAAGGCACCAATATGGTTCCTTTTGGTTCCTTTTGGTTCCTTTTGGTTCCCTTTTG